TATATATATATATATATATATATAACTAAACGAACTTTATGGTTGTATGGCAGTAAAGCATCAGTGCCAACACTGATGTTGCTGTCATTGATGATGATGATGATAGGTGCTTGTCATTCACAGCATTGCATCAGTCCTTCGTTTTGCTGAACTTGACTCTTTCCCAATAGGTTTCCTGGTTGATCCGGACACCAAAGCGAGTTGCAACACTCAGTCGTTCACAGTATTTTTGAATGTCATGTCGTTGCTTTGCTGGTTGTTGGTCACCAGTGTGACGAACTCCCACGTGTTCAGAACACAGTGATTCCCCGTATGATAGGTCATCTGGACGGGCGGTGTGTTTTTCACAGTATTTTTGAATGTCATGTCTGTGAGTTGCTGGTTGTTGGTCACCAGTGTGACGAATTCCCACGTGTTCAGAACACAGTGATTCCCCGTATGATAGGTCATCTGGACGAGACGGGCGGTGTTGCGAACTTTTTGGTGGAGCCACAGACGTGGTCGTATTTGATTCTAAAACACATATGAATGTGGCTGAAAATTATGACAACTAGAGGTGCCGAATTAGTCAGTAAAGTTTTCATGTTGGAGTATTGAAAGTAGTGAATAGGTATTACTAGACATGTACTTCCAGTGTATGTACGTAGCCAGTTGGTTTATGTGCTCCTGACCAAGCTCAACTGTTCTTTCCACCCATTCCTTTATCTGCAGGTTGCCCAGAAGAAAGGCCTTCCCCATGTGTTCTACTGCCAATTGTGGCGGTGGCCGGACCTGCATACACAACATGAATTACGACCGATCGCAACGTGTGAATTCTCCTTCCACGCTAAACGCGATGAGGTGTGCATCAACCCTTATCACTATCGACGGATCGAGAACCCCGGTTAGTTGAATGTGTCTGATTGATATTCATACGTGTAGTACTTTAGGTTGACTCATGTTTCTTCTTGTGTTTGTGCAGTCAAGTTAGTAGTGTCAGAAGATTCTCGGGTCGTACATTTTCTCGCTCCAATGGCAAATTTTCGTGTCCTTAGTGTACCACGTGGAAGCGGTTTTGAAGTCGTCATTGAAGCCTACAGGTGTCTGTGTGAACACATGCAGCGGATCGCCGGTGTTGACCTCAGTCAACAGCTTTTGACACTGCCATACTACCTTGCGGGCCACACTCGGTTATCGAAAGACTAGGGATGAATGAGACACTGTAGTTGGCTTCTTCACTATTAAACTGAGGCCATAGCATAGCGTCCCGTGAGAGAGACAACCTACCTAGCACTTTGTTTCCGATAGCCAAACTCAAAATGACGAAGTGTGACATCTAGTCAAGTTAGTAGTGTCAGAAGATTCTCGGGTCGTACATTTTCTCGCTCCAATGGCAAATTTTCGTGTCCTTAGTGTACCACGTGGAAGCGGTTTTGAAGTCGTCATTGAAGCCTACAGGTGTCTGTGTGAACACATGCAGCGGATCGCCGGTGTTGACCTCAGTCAACAGCTTTTGACACTGCCATACTACCTTGCGGGCCACACTCGGTTATCGAAAGACTAGGGATGAATGAGACACTGTATGTTGGCTTCTCACTATTAAACTGAGGCCATAGCATAGCGTCCCGTGAGAGAGACAACCTACCTAGCACTTTGTTTCCGATAGCCAAACTCAAAATGACGAAGTGTGACATCTCAGTCGGAGCGGCTCGCTTTGATTAAACAGCTAGCTATAACAAAGTGTGATATTTTTAGAGGCTGATGCGGTTGAAACAGACTTTGCCAACAAAATAACCGTCATTACTGATCCTAAAAGTCAGGTTTGACGATCCAGTTCTTGTCCGCGGGCGATTTTCTATGGTGCTGATCTTTCTATACTCTATACCGTACATAAGTTCCTCGCATCTACGATGGTCACCCTGGTCCTATGGGCGAGTCTTCCCAGCGATACACACAATCGCGTTATACTTTCCTCTTACCAACCGGAATTTCAATTGGAACCACTCAGACCAAACCGCTTTCACCATTTCAATTCACTCTTAGCTGTGTGTGGGTTTGCATCCCTTGGTCTCTGCCGTTACTTGTCACTAAGCACTCTAATCGCGACATTCCTCAAAACCTGAAAAACGTCAAAATATTGCATTCTTCGTGATCTAATCGATTCCCTGTCAACTCCTGCCAGAAAGATTGTTAGGTATTTTGCTAAGCACCTCATATTTGACCTTGAATGCCAGACGAACCTTTCGATGTACGCATTCTGGCGATGCTCTATGTTCCACTCTATTCGATGTGTGTCGTTGCCCCATTCAATTGTGTGAATATCATGGTACGTATTGGCTAGTTTGAGCACCATTCGCTACTCTGCTCAACGTTTATCGGTAATGTTACGCCTCACATTTCTCTCCAGAGGAAAATGACGTACCTGCAGTTTTTCACATTTGTCTTGAGAATAAACTCATCCGAGTGTACAAATGGTTTTTGTACGACTAACAGACAGGACTAAAGTGCACCCCTGAATCGTTCTGTTCATCGTTGCCATCACAGAGATTATCTATCGACCTGTATCTGTACACAACGCTAACGAAAATCGGATCGTTGCGATGAAACTCTGTTTCAAGATTTCAGATGAGGAGGACAAACTAAAGACATCTAGTAGCCATTCGCGCTGCAGACTAGTAGTACGTTTTCACTGGAAAAACCTCACACACAGTAGTACATATTTTCATTTGGTTGATCTAGTTTACATCAACCGATATGTGGCTGCCTAGAGGGAGTCATCACCATCATCATCATCATCATCATCGACAGCATGACATCAGTGTTCAACACCGATGCTTCACTGCCGTACAACCATGACTTATTTGAAAGCCTTATTGTAAAGAAAAGAATAAAGGTGGATGGGGGAGGGACTTAGTGCTAGCTTACCACAATCATTCCGAGGTGCCTACACCTCCAGACATTCACTCAGGCAATATGGACAGAAACCCCTCCCTAGATGGAAGGGTTGGGCGAGATGGACCAAGTGGTTAGAGCCCGAATTTACTAACCGGAAGGTCCGTGGTTCGAACCCGAACTCTGCCTCTCGACTTCCCCTGTCTAGGCTTGGGCAAGCTGACAGTATCCCAGCCCCTTTCCTCCTTCTGGTGGCATGACAGCTAGGCACCGGAAGGGTGCTACAGCTGAATGATTCGCCTAGAGGGAGCCAAAAGTAACTACAGACGGATGCTCAGTACAGTTTACCCGAGTAGGACAGGGACATACTTTTGGCTCTAACAACCACAGACCCACACAGGTGCTATCGTTATCCACGACACCTATATTTCTAGGCACCGGAAGGGTGCTACAGCTGAACGCTTTATCTTTATCTTTTTTTATCGTTATCCACGACGGATAACCTATATTTACATGTGGGTTGCGTTCAAACCTTGGTCGAGGTCCAACAAGGAAAATTCTAGTCACGGATAGTTGTTGGCTGTTAGTGTCGATTTTTTCGTGTGGGCTAGAGAAGTTTGCACATTAGTTCCCTTTTTCCGCGGAAGGGTGTCTGTCCTGTTCGGATGAATGCAACACATGGGCTTCCGTTCTTTGAAAACGTCCTAAAAGTTATTCGACTAAAAGAATGAATCGTTGCATAATTTCAAGTGTTTGTAATAGCAAAGTTCATATTGTGGCGAGATGAGAGTTGGAAATAGAGTCTCTTTCATTTGGAGGGACCAAGGTGCGGAATGATTTAGTGATTAGAGCTCGAATTTACTGCCCGGAAAGTCCGTGGTTCGAACCCGACCTCTGCCTCTCGATTTCCCCTGTCTAGGCTTGGGCAACCTGGCACTATCCTAGCACTCATGCTTCCTTCTGGTGGCGTTGGTAGCTAGGCACCGAAAAGGGTGGTACAGTTGAGCAATTTTTTATAGGGACCAGGGGAAGGGAACAACCAACGCGGGCTCTTCGAGAGCAAAAGAACCATTTAAAGGAGTTCCAAACACCGACAAAAATAGTCTCTTTCGAAGGTCTTTCCAGAGGGAAGTTTACACCAATGCGGCGTTAGGGGGAAGTTCGCGCCTCAACGAGCCCGTCAGTTTGAATGACAGTCGAAAATATGCGTGATGCGAAGCGATCCATCTGTTGTTTACAGAAGTTTACAGTCTATTTGTGTAAACTATTAGGGCGATATCGGTGCTGTTTGCTTTCCACTACGAGGTCCATGTGACTTTCCTTGTGCTTTACCCAGCACACCTAATGGTGTGCCGGCTAAACGATGTCAGTGGCGTTAGTGCGGTCAGCTTCTATCCAGATTTTCTGGCAGTGTCAGAAGTTCAGTGGCCTCGGGTGGTAGTCTAGCCCTGACTCCCTCTCCCTGTTCCATATTTCTTCTTTCCACAGTAAGGCTTTATTCAAATAGATCAACATGGTGTTCTCTGATGTTAAGAAAAAAAGAAGACAGGTGTTTTTAGATGATTTGACCGATGTTCTCTGAACATCGATGACCTGAGCAAAGCCCTAAAATCCATTCCTTTAGGTAGACAACACGATACATCACGAGGAACTTCGAAGCGGCAGTTAACTGAGAGAAGTCATGGACGGAAACATTAGAAGAACCGTAGAAAATGGCGGCGATTGCAACCAGTTGATTCTCATTTCAATTTATTCACAACATTGTGCCGGAAAGACTGACTGTCTGCGGGTCCACAGTCAACAGACAATTTCGTATCATTTGTCGGGAACCGGCTTTTGGTGTACTTTCATTCAAGCAAACACTGGGAGTTTATTACATTGAGACAAAACTGCTCAGCCCTATCCAGAAGTTCCGTTCAGGACGAAGAGGAGCACCCGGGTTAGACTGTCGTCCCAGTTTCAAGGTGAAACTATGTTTGATTTGACTCACTCAGATCATCTAGAACTAACTCGTGAAGGACAGGGTTGTGTGGTCCCGATTTTTGAAGGAGACGCTAGAGACGAACGTGCGAGCTCTTGACTTGTTCGTTTGTGATCGTCGCTTGTAGCACATCCCCCTGTGCAAACCTACCCGCACTTAGTAAAGCAGTAGGATGTGACTAAGTCGGGTTTGCGTCCAACTCACAGATGTGTATCGACCGAGTCTTTACCCTCCGACAATTTCAAGTACTCTACAACACAAAAGACAAACAGCCTTCGTCTTTGCAAATGTGCATATGGCTTTCTACTTGGTCCATGGTACTGTTTTGCCGGGACGGGTTTAACCAAATTGTGGCCGAATACAAAATACAATAAATAACCGAAGTAATGTTGTCACGTGTCTCGATTTGCCCCTTCGAAGTACGAAGGGCCATTCCATGGCTGTTTCGATGCTGCACCATTCCCACTGGCTATCTTTTCGGATCTCAGTAGTGTCAACGAAATGAACGCTGGAATTTCGAAACCCGTTCTGTTTCTGTTCACCTCTGTGATAATGATGACGTTATATCAGTGACAGGCTCCATAACACTGCAGGGCATCCAATACTGCTTTGTGGTTGTGGGAACGGGCAATGTACACTGAAGGTATAAGCGACTGCTTGCACGTAACTGTCAGTGTGTTCATAGTGTTAGACGTACCGTACAGAAGTATTGCTGAGGCATAGTGGATTGTTTTCGGAAACAACTCACTTGTGTACCCGCTTGAAGATATCATACGGTTGGCTTAATCTCACCGGTTCGGTTGTTTTCTTCTGCCAGTTAATCGGCTGTCTGCTCTTACGAAACAAGACACAAGTTGAATAACGCAGCTCAACAAACTTTCATATTCTTGTTGGTTGTCTGCCAGTTTGCAATCTCCCAGAGACCCATACCATCAGTGGCTAGATATCTTCCGAGGGGGGCTAGATGGCCCAAGTGGTTAGAGCGCGAATTTACTGGCCGGAAGGTCCGTGGTTCGAACCCGACCTCTGCCTCTCGACTTCCCCTGTCTAGGCTTGGGCAACCTGGCAGTATCCCAGCCCTCGTGCCTCCCGCTGGTGGCATGACACTTAGGCACCGAAAAGGTGCTACAGCTGAACGATTATATCTCCATAAAGGAAACTACTCACAATTCCAACTAACGTACAGTCGTACACTCTTCATAGTTAAGAAAAACTGAACTGAGCGGATTGTGTATCAATTTTCGATCATAGTTCGTACCCAAATCAACCACACTAATGATGAGCCGAAGTGAGGGCCTGAATGGTGGGCATGATGAGTGTTTGGGCGCACTCAAATCAAACACCGAGAGAACGATCCCTATCTATCCCACCGCGTGGGAGTGAACATGATGGAATCATAGCACTTATTTCCATTTATATGGCTTCAACAAAGAAGATTATCGCCTCCGTCCGTCCCGCTTCCTTTCGGGGCACAGATTATCGTGTATGTAACTCGCGTCCATGGTCGTATAGCTGCTGACATGTATTCCCGTACTTCTGATGTTGTTCAAATCAAATCTTCGATTGTAATATCCTTCTGGTGTCCTCCGACTAGAAGCCCACATCCGGTCTATGTGTATTCCATGGTTGAACAACTCAATTCTGTCTTAGTCCACTTCACAGTTAACGTAGTTTCGAGTTTTTATTGTTTCCGGGGGCCTTATGCCGTGAACCGTTTCCTAACAATTTCGTGACCGCTAAGCTGTTACCCTACTTCATTACTGCGTGGATGCCCATAAAATGTTGACTGCTCCTGCAATTATAGCGGTAACATTCATCCAGAACTTTTGCGTGCAACCACATGCTGACAGTTCGTACAGTATGGCTTGTTTTGCTGCGTGACTGGATTTCCTATCGATTTGTCGTTGCATGTTTCCTCTAATCCCCGGTGGACGAGGCGTGCATTCCTAAGTAACCTACGTAATTCATCACCAGTTTCTCGAGCGAGGAGAAAACGTTGACTGTACAAGCTTTTACCCACGTGTAGCATCGTGTCTGACCCATTTTCCAGAAACACATGCGCGCTAACTCCTTCCCAAACCACTGTACGCCGCTGAATCGCTGTCTGTCACTGTTGTGATTTTTTTGGCTGACTGGTTCTGACAACCCTGGATGCTTCGTATACGCTGGTGTAAAGTGCCTAGATGACACGTTGCGAACGTGTTTCTTCATAAAAACTGAGTACTTGTTTCCGCTTATTGANGATAGTCGGCCATACTATACGAGCGGTTAATTACAAGTTGTCAAGGTCGGGCCACACCAGCCTGCATTCTGTCACACGTGACCCATCACTGTGGATTTACCCTTCTTTTTGTGCTTCGTACGCATTTTAAGCCCATGAAAGGTAGTCACAATAAAGTAAGCAAAACCGATCACCGCAATCCAGCACTTGATAGCGATCGACTAACGGATCATGACAATGCTTTGTTCACTATCTTACACCCTTCTGGTCCCACATTATTCAAGTGCAAACAAAGCCTGGATGGTCTCTAGTGTTTGATTGTAGTGGCCATTCTGCGCTTACCGGGCTCCCAGTCCAGACAATCTTACTTGACCTCGTTTAGTTTTTTATTACCGACTACGACTGTTAAACGCAGTGGATGCAGTCAGTTCACACGATCTGTCACTATTGGACAAGGTCAGATTTACTGATGACTCACATGTCATGTATGAACCCCCATAATGCGTTCGCAGTGTTAGTATTCATTGCCAACGAAGCACTCGTAGAAATCCATGTGCCCTTTGTCACTCTTTGTCTATTCGTTTCAGGAATGACCTGGTTCACAGTTCGATAAAAAGAAACATTTGTACATCTGTGGTTGAAAAATTCAGTCTACATATTCACAATGATGATTAGGGTTAGCCATCAGTGAACCACGTGGAACTATCCAGACGTGTACTAAACTTTCTTGGCTGGGGATTACGGATTTCACCAGGTTTTTGGTTGCATTACGAGTCGGAGATGGCCCAAGTGGTTAGAGCGCGAATTTACTGACCGGGAGGTCCGTGGTTCGAACCCGACCCGTTCTGCCTCTCGACTTCCCCTGTCTAGGCTTGGATGACCTGGCAGCATACCAGCCCTCGTGCTTCCTGTGAGTGGCAGGTAGCTAGACCTCGTGCTTCCTGTGAGTGGCATGGTAGCTAGACACCGAAAGGGTGCTACAGCCGAACGAACGGAGCTATCCACGCATGGTCAAGTTGCAGGTTGATTAACAGTCGAATGGATGGTTTTTTTGTCGTTAGAGCACGGTTGTTTAGAGAGGGATCAGTGTCATTTACCGTCAGAAGTGATACATCTCTTCCGGTATTGATATAACTCGGCGGTTAAGGCGCGAACCTATTGGCCGAAATGTCCGTTGTTCGAACCCCATTTCGGCATCTCGGCTGCTCCTGTCTAGGCTTGGGTAACCTGGTAGTATCTGGGCCTTCGGCGTTCCTTCGGCAGGTATGGCATTTAGATATCGGAATGGTGATATGGCTGGGCGACTGTTATTATTTTATTGTTTCCTGCCTTTCAACAAAACACTTACACCTCTCTAGACTGACTCCACCCCTCAAGATATCTTAGGGACCTCATGGGCTGCGGCAAAGAAATGTTGTTTCGGTGCCTCCGACCAAAAGCCAATTCACCAGTAGGATGTAGACTGCTCAAATCTTGAAAGTAACTGGAAAAGTTCAAGTTCCTATCCAAAATGCTGTCGTTTCTATTCGGCGAGTGTTGAGATTATCCCGATATCAACAGAGAGCAACACCCGTAGAAGGGTTACTGTCCTGGCCCTATTAGGACATCGGTATTTTCGTCCCACCTGACTTCCGATGAATATCTTTTCATCACTTGGAAGGTTTGATGAACAATGTATAGCGGAGACAGATTGCAAGAACCATTACATTTAGTTGTAGCACCCTTTCGGCTCCTAGCTACCATGCGACCCGAAGGGAGCACGAAGGCCGGCCACTGCCAGATTGCCGAAGCCTAGACAGGGGAATTCGAGATCTAGAGGTCGGGTTCAAACCACGGACCACCGCGGTCAGTAAATTCGCGCTCTGACCTATAAACCATCTCGCTTCAAGAGTTATTATACTGCTGTTCTAAGTCTTGAGATTCACTTCCAGATTGGAGATACTTAGAATCTGTTCAACTGATACGCGAGAGCCGATACTGCCAAGAGGCTCCAACCTCCGATGTTTAGACCATATCTCGTTTTCTTAAATTTACTAGACAGTCACCCCACAGATAAAGTGGAAAGTCGTTTCAACAGTGCCATATGAACCTTATTGTAACTGGCAAATGCTCTCTATTGCAGAGTTTTGATCCTGGTTTACAATGTGCCACCTGATCGAATTGTTCGCTAAAGCCCGGTCTGGCTAATCTTAGTCACGACAGCGAAGCATCCGTGTTGAACACTGATGCGATGCTGTCGATGATGATGATGATGATGATGATGATGATGATGATGATGATGATGATGATGATGAGTCTCCTTGTGTTCTCAACACGAACATATTCTTCACAGACCGCAGGATGAAACCAACCCTTTGAACGAACTGTATTTTTTTCTCCATTGGCCATCTAAAAACCTGACTTTTCAACGTCGACTGTTTGAGATTCTGGGTAAATTGGTGTTTTTCGTAGATCGGAATATTCACGCACCCTACGATTCTCCGCGGAGAACTGTTACTCACGCAGTACGCAGCTCTTTTTCTGTAGTAACGGGATCTTACAAACAGCTACACCTGGTCCCTTGCAAATCCGATTTTACTCCGTTCCTCTCGGAAACGGACCACTAAATCCATCAGAGTTGTGTGTATTAGGCTTGCTTACCCACTTCCCCAGAGCAATTCTCGCCGAATGAGTGGATATCCATTCGACATATGCGTGCACAAATCCTACCAGCTGACGAAACGTGTCACCCAATCCATTACGAATCGTTGAATACCGGTCTCATGCTCAGGTCAGGTGCGTTAACTGCAACTGGTGGTCAGGTAGAAGTTAATGTGTTCATGGTGACGAAATGTTTGCGAACCAGTACTGAAGATCGACGTACGGATCAACTGTCACGAGCTCAGCAACCAGTTGCTTCGGAAGCAAATCATGTGCATGTATACCGTCGTCGACTTGCGTCACTCCCTGTTGTCCGCTTGAAAACAACGATTTGACAATTGTCTTGGAAAGGTGGTATTCATTTATGTCGGCTGATTTGAGTGGTCAGTAGGACAACAACTCTCCGATGATTGCAAAACATTGGTGGATTCCAGTATCTTCGCTTCCCATAATTTATTGAATATTGACCCCATGAACAAGAGAGGTTACTCGCGCATCTGTTTGTAGTGTTTATTGGCGTCGAACATGTATATAACTGTCCTAACGGATACCATCCAAATATAGGTTAGGGTTCTGCGTCCACTCAGTGCTACCGTAAGTTACTCTTCCCGACGAGCGCCCGAAAGCCCCTTCGGTAAATGCGGGGACTCGCTTTACGGATATATTTATGGTGGAGGTTATTAGATGTCACAAAACACGATTGCTCGTGGACCCTTTTCGTCATTCCTCATCCATTTTATGCGAGCCCAACTTTTTACTACGCCCCTGCCGTTTTGATGTAGATGGTCACAAGATTTATGGGATTTTTGACTTCCGGTATACTGGACCTTCTTTCTCTCCAATCCGAGCGCGGTTATTGTAGTTAGTTTACACCAAGTGCCTTGCACTACCTTGCCCCCAGTTTATGGTTATTTTATTAGAGCTCACTCAGGGGGCGAAATGGCTCAGTGGTTAGAGCGCGAATTAACTGGTTCGAAGGTTCGTGGCTCTACCTCTCGACTCCCCCTGCCTAGGCTTGGATAACGCACCAGTATCCTAGCCCCCGTGCTTCCTTCGGGTAGCATGGCAGCTGGGCACCGAAAGGGTGTTACAGCTGAACGATTTCGAGAGCTCAATCACAGTTGCCCCGCTGGGGTTCGGCCCCCGAACAGCTGACACATGAATATAACAATACACTGTCAGGGTGCATATGATGAGCCCGAATTTTTACGTCCGAACAGACAAACACCCGGAAGCCTGAGCAATGTCATAGGTTTGCCGTGTAGCTTGGACGACAACGCAGTACCCGTTCTGGTTGTATCCACCGATTGGTGCAAACGTCAGGATGCTTGAAACCTATCGGACCGATTTTAATTAGGTGCACATGATTACAAAATTTGTAGAACCTTGAGTCCCTGTAGTTCCTTTCCTTCGTATGCAATAATTGCGCTTGGTTAGGATGGTACAGACGAGAATGATGTGGATGAGGAGAATCGTTTTCGTTTTGCATTCGGCTCACAACCGACTTCGACAGGCTGCTCAGTACCGTCAGCAACACGGGTCCAGACTGAGATTTGAGCGGAATAAGTTAATTGTTTACGGTAGAAGGGCGATGTGGCACAGTGGTTAGAGCACGAATTCACTGACCGGTTAAGTCCGTGGTTCGAACCCGACCTTTGCTTCTCGACCTCTTCTGTCTAGGCTTGGGCAACCTGGCAGTATCCTAGCCCTCGTGTTTTCTTCGGGTGGCGTGGCAGCTAGCCACCGAAAGGGTGCTACAGCCGGTAGAAGAACGTTTGGGTTTTTAACATACTAGACGTGTTTAGACGGGTCTGCGTGAATGGTGGGGTTATGCCAGTGTAACTAAAAGCTGTTTCGGTAATTTTGCATGGTCAACATGCAAAACTGTCTGTTGTCTTGGTACTGGGGTTGGCACAGCAGTATCGATCCATGCGCTGGTTTTCAGCCCAAGCGTGTGACTCTGCGCCACCTTTTTAGGTGATGTTTTTTTAAGATGGGAACTGTATTCGTCCTATTATTACCTGAATTTGCGAGTGCTTTTCCACTCGAGCCACTTACCCCCACCAATTTCACGTGTTTTCTTCGGGTGGCGTGGCAGCTAGCCACCGAAAGGGTGCTACAGCCGGTAGAAGAACGTTTGGGTTTTTAACATACTAGACGTGTTTAGACGGGTCTGCGTGAATGGTGGGGTTATGCCAGTGTAACTAAAAGCTGTTTGGGTAATTTTGCATGGTCAACATGCAAAACTGTCTGTTGTCTTGGTACTGGGGTTGGCACAGCAGTATCGATCCATGCGCTGGTTTTCAGCCCAAGCGTGTGACTCTGCGCCACCTTTTTAGGTGATGTTTTTCTTAAGATGGGAACTGTATTCGTCCTATTATTACCTGAATTTGCGAGTGCTTTTCCACTCGAGCCACTTACCCCCCAACAAGTTCACAATTTAGGTCTTTCCCGATGAGCGCTCTTTTTTCGACTACTTGGATTTCGATTGCTAGTATGCTCCTTCCTGTTGGTTGCGGTTCAGTTTTGCACGAGCACGGCAGACCACTTTTTAGGGCGTTTCCAATCCAGTGTTATGTTATAGCTTGACAGCCCCCATTACACTTTCTGTTCATCACAACATTGGGTCGATCGGGTCTTCGTGTGGAGTCACTCGCTTCCCAGATGACACAGTGCTAGTCATAAGGCTTGTGTTACCATGGTCTACTTGTTCACGATGGAATGTTACACCCTATTATCATAAGCTTCCTGCAATAATAGAGGTTGGGAATTCGTTTGGTACAGTACGACTGTGAGTAAAGTATTCTCGAACGGCTTGTACACTGCTACCTCCCGAGAAGAACTTGTGCGGTTTGCTCATCCGAAGGATGACGGTTATTTCATCTCTTTTGGAGGGATCTCCTACTGAGCTGTGTTTGACAAGGAACTACAGTAAACCCTCTAGAATGGTAGTCCCTTCGGAGTTTAGGGGCCGTACTACAGGTATGCGTTTGCCATACCAAGGGCTTCAAGAAGAGTACCAGATCCTTTCTGTGTCCCTATCTTGAACTGGGCGATTCTCATGCTGTTCTTTAGCTGGGCATCTTGACGAGTGATGCAAGCGGGGTGGCATTGCCATTCTTTCAAGGTCGCGGTGCACAACAGGTCCCCAGCCTAGTTGAGTTTAACCGTAGTGTATGCGGCTGGCGTTTCGTCAGATGTATCGAAAACGCGTCTTGCACGGCTCAAATTAGTGCAGACTGAAGATGACATTGGATTATGCGTTAGGCAATACTCCACCCGGCTTAGTGAATACAGTAGGATCAACAGGTCCTTGTATTTCAGTCCATCTTCGCTTTCACTGCTTCTCACGTGGAACAAGTGGTGGACTACCCTTGTTCTACCCCAGTACATTGATGGTAGTGCCTGGTGGTGTGTAGTGTTAGTTTGAGAAAACCAACCAATTGCTACGCACCACTACGCTCTTTAACAACGCACCTCAATTGGTGATGAAACATTTGCAATCAAATTGTCCAGCCCAGCGAACAAACCAACAACCATCTGCGCTACCTGAGCTACTAACTTTTTCCACCGTAGAAAATTACTTCACTGTCACAATGATCGTTCTAACTGAAACGTCAGCCGGACCATGTGCAACACATTAGGCCGCGTAATACCATAAATGATGGAGTCAGTTGAGTCCCTCAGCTAGCCAACATAATTTGCAAACGACTGTGTTATTCCGCTTACGTAGAATTCGCTGTTCATGTTAAAATGCGAGTGATGAGAAGCTGCGCCTTCATGGCTTGCCCCAAGGTGGATGAAGCTGACAGTTGAGTGTCGAAATTTCCTTCCATTTTATAAGTAGTACTGTGTAGTGAGGTCCATCCGCTTAAAAGGCTGTTGGAATACGCAATTCACCAGTCTCTCAAGAAGGCATTAGCCAACGAATCGACAGTACTGCTCACCCTGGCGACGAGTCGCAACCGAACGTGTAACTCTTCATATGAATTCACGCACATCGCAAACATATCCACCAACTACGCACTCATGATGTCCTATCGCCCGAGCGATCAGGCTTCCCAGCCCTGCGACCACTAAAGTGTTCGATCACATTTCTAGAATACCAAACAGTTCACCTACTTTGAGTATACAAACTAGTATCTGAAGCTCGGCGAAACTCCTAAAAGTATATTGTAGTAGTGAGACTTGGACTCGGGTTAATTAGGAAAAGTAATCAGGCACTCGATTATATCCGAATTCAGATTGCTATGGCGGCAGCAGTTTCGAGTGAAAAAACGCACATACCGAGTAGCCACTCAAGTCTTTTCAGATGTAAACTTGTTTCCCAGTGGAATGTCACAATGGAACGTTCTTCAGGAAGCACATAACCTATTGTTCACCAGTATAACTACAGGAAGACTCGCGCTTGTGACCTCAGAGGGATGTAAAGTTTCGTAAGGTACCAGATACTCTTAAGGGCATTACTGAAGTTTTGGCGGAGACATTGACATTCTTGGCATCCAGGCACTTGGGGAATTCATCGGACTGTCCACAATGCTCGGAGGGTATTTATTTGAGATAAGATCTCAGGTAGTAAAGTACATACATCCAGGTAACACGACTGTAAAGCGCAGAGTAATTGCTCGTTCAGCTGTGACACCCTTTCAGTGCCTGGCAGACCAGCCACCCGAGGGAGTTAGACAAATGAGCTAATCGGTCAGGAGTAAGTAATTGCTCGTTCAGCTGTGACACCCTTTCAGTGCCTGGCAGACCAGCCACCCGAGGGAGTTAGACAAATGAGCTAATCGGTCAGACATGTTCGGAATGGATTGTAAAGACCTCCTCTTGTGGTAGCGAACGACCCGTGTACATTTTTCGGCGAATTGTACATATGTTGCGCACCTGAGCCGGACGCGCTACCGTGCCGGACAAAGCGTTGCATGAAGCACAAAAAATGCAACGACCAGTGAAAAAAGTATTCGAGAAAACTCAACATGAAGAGCAAGCACACCACTGCTGTCGAATCTTGCACCACGTCCGTTACCGTATAAGTAAGCACGATCGTTTTCGCCCCAGTCAGACAGTTGAGACGACCCAATCGAGGCCAGTCTGGTGATCAGTCCTCGGTGTGTTTCACTTAATTTCAACCCGACAGAATGAACAAAGCTCGTCTTGTGAATTGTTTCCGATCCATTCTTATTACCTGACTCAGCCAGTGAAGTGTATGCAGTCCATCACAAGCAGTTTCCCTGGTCTTCACATTGTTCAGGCCTCGTCAGAAGTACATCCCAGACTGGTGCGTCGTGCACTCGTTATGTGTAGGCTGACTACGTCATCCTCATAGATGTTGTAGGTTACCAAACGCCATCATTCTCCTGATGCGGAAGGCTATCGGTACAATGTCACCATGAGCGGATGTGACATCCAGCGTTCGTGGTGCTACTAACAGCTTCAGGGAGTTCTGTATTGCCAGAGCCAGCGTTCGTGGTGCTACTAACAGCTTCAAGGGGTTCTGTATTGCTAGTCTGTTTCGAGAACCTTGTACTCAAGTGGCGAGCGATGCTTGCCAAGCCTACTGATTTTCAACTGGAGACTATCGAGGGGCGAGATGGCCCAAGTGGTTAGAGAGTGTGAATTTACTGACTGGAAGGTCCGTGGTTCGAGCCCGACCTCTACCTCTTGACTTCCCCTGTCTAGGCTTGGGCAACCTGGCAGTATCCCCGCCCTCGTGCTTCCTCCGGGTGGCATGACAGCTGAGCACCGAGAGGGTGGCTACAGCTGAACGCCTATCCGGGGCCACCTGAACGTCCTCCACGTTTCTGCCACACCCCGCAATGTTGTCGGCGTACACCAGGCGTTAAACTCGTTCCCTTGGAGGCAAATTCACACCACCTTGCGATGAAGCATCCTCTGGAATGTCGTCCACTAGGGTATTCAATAGGGATAGATATATTAGGTAAACTTGGTTCGGGTTTTTGCAATCCCGATGAGGCAGCTGGCTCTCAACGCGCGCATGGTTCTGTGTTGTCTCCCCATCTTTCCCTTAAAATCTTGGCAAATTTATCCCAGGTAAAACAGTCTCAAGCAGCAGTCCCGTCAGCTGAGTCACACCTGCGTCCGCTACGGAAGCTGTCTTACCTGCCGTCATTTTGCTTGCGCGCAGCAGAAAACTTTCGAAAGGAATAGTCTTTGGCACCAATAGGGTTAGGGTGTTCTGGAGATTTTGAGGTTTTATGGGCAAAATGGAAGCCGTGAGTTCTCCCGTTCAAGCTTCTGCAATGTTTACTATCCCTTTTGGCCGCGTAATGTACGCAACATTCGTTTGGTTTATCACCTGATGAGAACGTTAATATGTGTCAAGTACACTCATTTGCATACTGATTTGTTTTTCGCGTTGAACGCAGGTGAATCTTTCATTTACGAACTGTCAGTATGGTTGCATGTTAGAATAGGCTTTTGGGCAAAAAGTGCTGGTTTTGTTTCAAAAAGCTCTTTTCGCACAACCATGTGAAGTGTGGGAACGAGCCAGGAGAGGTCAAACAGTGACTTATCAGGAAAGTATGGAAGCCGTTACCAGGAAACTCAGTTGCGCTGGTCATTGCCGTCCCCCTTAGACGAGACACATCAACGGTTGGAGACATTATCAGACATAGCCCTGTCGTGCCCTCAGTGGCGCTCGCGCATCCAAGCTATTGCCGTCAGGGCATAGCTTTCCTCTGATTCTCACCAATTAAAAGGCCGCTGGCAACCCTGTATTTACGCCTCAATTATATCACACATCGCCTCCAATGCGCAGCTGTCTATCCCATCTCCCCAAACCATGGGTGAACGAAACTGTGACAGCTATAACCACTATATGGCAAGTACGCGGTTGTTACAGCTGATGATGATGATACTGAAGGAATTGGAAAGGGGTGGAACGCTCTGTAACGAGATCCAGGTTGTTTTTTACGCTTACAATGCAATGTTATTCTTGACCATTTGTGCGACAGGTCATTGAAATGTTTGATGCGGAAAGCCTTCACTCCGGTGTTCGCACTCAACTTCCTCTACTATAACCGATTTTCTCGTACTTCTCCGGTCCATTGATTAATATCCTACCAGTTTTTCTTAAACTACCCAACCCGGAGAAGGATATCTCTATGTGCGTGCACCTAATGTACTTTGCTATTAATTGTTGAAGTTGTGCAGATGCGCCCGAAGACCTAGGTTATTCCTCTTTCCGCGGTATCATCAGCGTTAAAAACCAATGCCTTGCGAAATTCTCTCGGTATATGTTATTTTCCACGTATTGCTTACTTTCCCACTCTTATCGACTGGTTTGTATAACCGGAGATCTTTTTTCGTACACACGTCCGACACAGTCGCTTGTTTCCCCTCCGACTGTTGCCGTCACACGCAGTTTTTTGCTTCAGTTTGTTTCCGCGTCGCAAAGGTCAGTGATGTCCGTTTGGTCAGCACGATCTTCAAAATCCACATCTGGCGATTTCGTCACTGCACCACAACCGGTTCGCCGTTTTCAGTCCAACATACAATGCCACACTTATACGTGTCAATCGTTGGAAGCCTGCATTCGTTGTACTATGATTCCTATTTTGGATTTTTTAAAATATGAAACCACCGAATCGGTACCGCTAGGTTTCTAAGCGTGTGTGTTTGTCAAAATCTTCAAACACACATGCATGGGTTGCTCTTGAAGTTGCGTCAAATTGTATTCGGTTTCGACATTTTTACACCCAACACTACCTTCCCAACTGAAGGTATATCCGGGATCTGTCTGCGGTCGACTGCACGATACTGCAGTTCCAAGATGTCAAAATGCTGCTGCGGTAACGAAACGTCCTCCGGTGTGCAGTTTTTCACTTTGGTTAACCCTAAGGTGTTATTTCGACACTTGATTATATGACCAACCCATTCATTTACTGATGAGAACTCATCACTTGTTTCTGTGGCAGTGGTATACCGAAGTCATCACTTGAATATGGTAGCCGTTTCAGGCAAACAACATAACAAGTGCTTGACTGTCGGAACTTGCCATAAATGGCGCTTGTTTGTTCGACGTGGTTAATTCCAATAGATGACTAGAGGGGCAGTTGTTGGCCACCCAGATACACAACCAGCCAGTAAGTTGTTGTCTGGTGTATGACTGCAAAGTCGAACGGAACATGGGGTGCAGTTTTTCACTTTGGTTAATAAAGATCCAGGCAGTACATTGATTATAAAGTTGAAGAGGAAGGGCAACAGATACCAATTGTCTGACATCACTGGGTGTGATGAACTCACGAGAGGATTTGTTGTAGACACGTACGCGTCCATCGGATGGAACATATAGAGCCTTCGTAAGAGACAAGACGCTATCATAATCAAATTAACCTTTGGAAGAGTCACGTGAACCTGAATGAGATGTCGACACTGGTTTTCCATTGGCGACGGGAATCCAGCACGGTATTGCATTATTTCAACCTACCGTGATATCCATTCCGGACAGTTCGCACTTTTCTCTTCAAGGAAGATTGCGAATCCATTGTAGCTAGCCGGACTACTCGAAATGAAGATAAGATACCGACTGGCTATCTAGTCAAAAGCACCTTCCAGGTCGAAATGACAACCACTGTTGGTCGTCAAAAGAAGTGATGCAGTCCCAAAGTGAAGCCCTGTTCGATGCGATTCCGACCAGGGCGAAACTGAACCTGATTCTCGTCAGTCTGAATTTCCGGTCAGTAGATCAAGCTGCGTTGGATAATACCAGAGAGCACTTTGAAAATTATGGTCACTAGGCTGATGTCCCGGTGGTTTTCGAACGATGTTCTTGCATGCGTTTTGAACCTGGGGACCATCGTCAAGGAGAATCAATCTGTCAGTATTCTGCCTCCGTTAGAAATGTTTTGGAGAAAAGTCGTCGGGTTAGGCATGAGTGAATCTTCACCCACTTTGGGAGCAGCAGGATGCAAACTGTCCGGACCAGGTTCTTTGTCGCGCTGAAGCAATGAAATGGGACACTGACGTCCCCTTGTTTTCATATTTCTCTTCCAGAGGTTAGAAAATCGTTCAGCTGTAGCACCCTTACGATGCCTAACTGCCATGCCATCAGAAGGAAGCATGAGAGCAGGGATACTGCCAGGTTGCCCAAGCCAAGACAGGAGAATTCGAGATGCAAAGCTCGGATTCGAACCACAGACCTTCACGCTTTAACCACTGAGCCATCCAGAGGTTGAGTTGATGTCGGCCAGCTCAGCTATGCTTCAAATTTCCCAGCCCACCGTCGAGGCAATGATGGCTAAATGGAGGCCCCATCTTTTTCGGAGATCCCATCATAAATGAATGATAAAGATGTGAGGTATCAGCAGTTTCACGCTTTCCCTTATCCCACCCACTCTATGCAGCCAACAAAGGAACCCAGCTGATGTCACTGTGCGACGTACGATGCGATATGAAGGTCCCTACCTCCTGCGTCATTGATGATTAAATGTGTCCTTAGACTGTGTCAAAACACCCAAACTGGACAGCAGGTTGATTAGGATCCCCGACCGAAGCTCCTGACTCAACAGCCCAACTGCGAAATACTTCCCGTGGTTTTTCAGGGAAACGTTAACTGTCCTTGTTTCGCCCCACAAACAGTGGGTTTCAGGGTTGTGCTGATAGCACGCATCTGTGTTCGCCACGTACCTGTGGAAGGAATGTGTGGCTCACCAACCCTTCAAACTAAACTCACTAACCCATCGTTGGCTTATGTGCCACCTTCTCGAATCCATTTGTCACATGGAACCGGGACAGTCTTTATGCCTTCCGATTGTTGGTGCTCAGGTGACTTGCAAATCACATGTTTGACTGATTGAATCCAACATTTCCGAGCGAATTAATGAATAAAAAAGTCCTATACAGTCGGAAGTTTTTGAAAGCAATGTCTCAACGGTCGTAAGCGAACTGGCATGTTGTTTGTACATGTGAAGATAGTATGACAAGTGTAGACTTTTCGCTTGTTGTTACTTCAGCCACCTTGGATCAGGCACATTTTGAAAACCAAACTCTAGCCTTGCTGATCACCTTTCATCTTAAGGTTGGTGACGGGGTTTGTATGAAAGGAAGTAACTTGTCTTCAGTGCATCATTAGCTGTGTCATATTTCTTGCTTATTCTTTTCATTGTGTGTTGGTCAGCTCTCGTTACACTGTCTTATTCAACCAGACTTGACTGTCACGGAAAAACGCTCCTTTCGGTTCATTGGTGCAACATAACTGGAGTAGTCCAATATTGCTTACTTCGTGGTGATTTTTTTCGGCCCAAGGATAAGTTGACTCAATTGATATCTCGTACGTAGACGCCCAACACTCGGCTGTTGATCCAGTGTCAATGCAAACGAGTATTCGAGTGGCGCAGGTCGGATTCGAACCATGGACCTTCCGGTCAGTAAATTCGCGCTCTAACCACTTGGGCCGTCTCGCCCAAGATAGAGTGGTTTGCATACTTTGTAACTCTATTCAATCTAATAATCATACGATCAATAAAATCTGCACGTGAATCTGTAATGTCAGTACTGTTTTTCAATGTGCACCACTTCAGACTTCCAAACAAAGGTCACTTGCACCAGTCAGTACTGCAAGTTGTCCTATTGTTGTGCGACTACTCCATCTAGGTGGAGGATTCGAAACAATAATAATTGTTCAGCTGTAACACTCCTTCCTGTGCCATGCTACACGAAGGAGGCACGATGGTTCGGATACTGCCAGGTTGCCCAAACCTAGACGGGGAAGTCGAGAGGCAGAGCGGGTCGGGTTCGAACCACGGACCTTCCAGTCAGTAAATTCGCGCTCTAACCAATTGGTCCATCTAGCCCCAGGAATCGAAAAAATTCGAGTATTTGCCCATCCAGGTTTCTGAGATGGATCGGTGTGAACAGATTGGATTGGACAAAAATAATTTTATTTTGGTGTTACTACAGGCACATCTGATGGCATAAACTACTCGGTTATCGTGTGCCTTGACTAGCAAGCCGTGGCAGCGGTCACTCAATAGAGACAACTTGATTCTTACAAGGGCAAGTTAACAGTACTAACTAACAGAGCCTATCAGAGGCTACCTCATAGACCAAGTTATGCAATCTCACATCACCCATTCGAATGAGAAATATTCAGATATTTCTACGTCTCATTTCAGACGCCGTTTCATAGATTACACTAGAAAAACAGATCCTACGGATATGCATAGCTCAGGGAGTCGAGACGCAACCATATGCTCATCAGGTGTTACTAGCTTGGTCAATGAATTTTTCGCTTGTGATCATCAACGAGTACCCCATTTGGCATCAGTTTGGCAACAGATGCAATTGTTTTGTTCTGACCACTTGGTTTGTTGGTCCGTTGTATAGCTGTTGGTTCCTCAACCATCTTGAAGTATCGTTGTGGTACTTTGGGCCAATGTTACTAATTTCCGTGATGATAGAAGTGCTCTGAAATCAATCACTTATCGGATTTTTCTTTCCACAGTCCTCCCTCCAATCATGGTACCCCGAAACTCACAGAACAGCGGGAATGGGTCGATCAGTAACAACCCCCTGCATCGCGGTATGAGTGATCATGGAGAACGATACTCTTCCTCCAGTACAGGCGGGTCACGCTTTGGTCATCAGCACCACAGTTCCGCTTATTCCTCCCTTCATCATCCGTATCAATCTGGCGGTGGTATGCATCCTCAACACCTGATGCGCGGTCATCATGGTTCAAACGCGTCTCTGGGCGGCGAACCGATGCTCCTGGGAGACGATGGTGGAAGTCAACCTAACAGTTTGGCCGCCCTCCTCGTCCCGCCCACAAAACAACCCCGGCAGCACCTGGCGACAGATGCCGTCACAGCAGCTGCCCTAACCCGAGGCACTGGTGACGATTTCACCGTGGTGGGTCGATCTCTGCTGGGCGACAGTTCTTCCGGTTCGGCCAGTTCTCATCCTCCTTGTGTTAGTCTCCGTGAGGTTAGCACGTGGTCCCATCTACACACTCAGCTCACGTTTGTTTCGGTTTTTTAGGGCAGTGAAACACAGTCGCTCATCAGTGTCCCTTTTCGTGATGACGATGTTTTCATCCTAGTTCTGGTAGGAGGGACACCGATTTGCTCCCGCCCTTCCCTCATCCGATGTAGTCATCGATCCAATTTATCTCACTTATTGTGGTCATACTTATAGATTAAAATGAATAGTAGGTTTTTGTATAAAGACCTCTATCCGTTCTCGATCTGAGCATCCGTTTTTTGCATATCATGCATTCGGCTTTCTTTGCTTGAAACTAAGTTGTAGGGTGGAAATCCCCTGATACGCATCTTTTAGGCCCAGTGTGTCTACCCGATGAATAATGCTCACTTGTAATCTCATTTGCGGACACAGCGAGCGCAGTACGAAGTAGCAACCATGATGTGGGTGTGCTCCTAGTCGTTTCAGTGGAAATGACGGTTTTTCCCTCGGTCGGTGGGTCTGTCTGTCTATGTTCTAGTCAACTGCCTGTCTGTCTGTGCGTTTGTCTGCCTCTCGATCTACACGGATTTGAGAAACATGAGACCCAGGTCGATGACGCGATTGCGAAAAAATCTAAATGATGGTTTGTTTGTTTGTTTGTCGTGAGAGCTCAATGACAGACTTTGTGAATGTTCTCCTATTGTTTTAGATGGTAGGTAAGACCGTCGCTATCGCAGGGTAGCCGGGTAGTCTGTGGTCTTCGGTACGATAGCAACCCTCAGGTTCTGTCCACTCCACTGTTAGGCCAATAGTTTAATGTTAAAAATTGATGGCGTAACAATCCTCAAGAACGATGCTCTTCCCTGCAGCCAAGTCTCATTCAGGCTGTAACCAAACTACCCGACAGTGAAGGATTCGATTCCTGAGCCTGCGGCCATCAAGTGATTGTTGGGGATCGTCAAAATCTGTCTGCGGATATCGAATGTGTTTCATTAACCTCAAGTTAGGGTTGGAATATGGTCACATCCTCACTAGATAAGTCAGTAACAAGTATAGGGGCTACCAACCGCGCTCCCAGTTCTTTTCTGTAGAGAGTCTCCTTTTAGATTTTTTTCAAAGCGGGATGGAGAAGTTGTTGGAATGCATCAGTTTGACATCAGATTGGACATTTCCCACTCCCCATTATCACCTCATGGGTTTTTGTTTCTGTGCATACTTCCCCATATACGACCATTCTGAACTTCGTATCCCCTAATTTCCGTTTTATTTTCTCTCAAACTTGCCGCAGACTGCAGATAATACCACCCTTGGTGGTCCCCCGAGCCTAGTCCACACCCCACCTCCTGGCACCCCACACAGCCATAGCTTTCAGTCCCTCATGCTTGGACGAGGCGGTGGCGATTCACAAGAGTACCGGAGCGGAACAACCGGTAACCACGTTCACAACACCTCAGGGGCTAATTCCTCTGGCAGGTTAGTAGTGTCCACTGCTCAGATCATCAACTTCTACACTCGTCAGTTTTTCTTACTGTCATCCAACGCTTGTTCTAACCTTCGTCGACTTAGAAGAGCACAACGAATGATTCATATAATTCACGTGGTTCGGGACTTATTGCTTGTCTTCAAGTCTACTTTCCATTTTCTCGTTTATGATTCCTTACCTGACTGATTGAATCCGACTTTGATATAAAAAATTAGATTGTTCAGCTGTAGTACCCTTCCGGTGTCTAGCTACCATGCCACCCGAAGGAAGCACGAGAGCTGGGATACTGACAGGTTCCTAGAGCCTAGACAAGGGAAGTCGAGATGCAGAGGTCGGGTTCGAACCAGCTCACTTGATAACCGGTCTCAAAGTGAAATGGTCTATTCAAGCCCGATGGTGCATCATTCGCTTACACCAGAATTTAGCACTGCACGTATCGTAAAATTGGAATAGGCGTTCGGCAGTGAAGCATCGGTGTTGAGCTCTGATGTCATGCTGTCGATGATGATGATGATGTTCGGGCGGCGGGTTTCAAGGGTGAACAAGCTCAGCTGCACATGATCTATGGTCATACTTTTAGGAAACAGGTTGTGAAGTCCTGTTGTCGTGTGTACCAGGCTACAGTAAGGGCTCTGTTGTTGTATGGGTGCGAGACATGGCCTCTTCAGGTAGATGGTGTGAGGCGTCTTCAGGTTTTCGACCACCGATGCCTCAGAAGCGTGGCTGGTTTCGGGTGGCGTCAGCATGTTAGTAACGAGGTGATTAGAAAACGGGTATTTGGTTGTGCTACAGGCACCTCAATCCGGGAAAACATCCAGCATCATCGACTACGATGGTTCAGTCATGTGCTACGCATGCCGAAACACCGTCTACCGAAACGATTGTTGTTCTCTGTGCTTCCTTCAGGATGGCGCGAACCATGACTTGGACATCACATGACTTGGCAAAAAGGCGTGGAAGAGATCACGAAGAGTTTGGGTGTTGTACACCTTCCAGGATGAGATCTCCGTGACCCCCTCTGTGGTTGGCTGGAGACGTTGCAAGAAATGGTGGCTAATCGATGTCAGTGGCGTTCGTGTTGTCAGTTTCTTTCCAGATCGTCTGATTGAGCGGTTGGTGGTGTAGGCACCTCAGTATGCTTGACATAGGCCAGCAGTAGGTCCCCTCCCTCACCCACTCTTTTTCTCTTCTCTGTAGAACTTTTAACAAACCTTATGGTTGTATGGCAGTGAAGCATCAGTGGCAACACCGATGTTGCTGTCTTTGATGATGATGATGATGATCGGTTAGAGTTTTCCGTACCGTTCTCATTGCGCAACCGAACGCGTGCCGGGGAGAATGCGTTGAGTTCAAACAAAGACTCCTGACAAAGCTGTTGATGGGTCTCCCCATCCCTTAGAGCCTCTGTTGGTCGGATGTGAAGGGCATTGTAGTAATGCCCATCGATGCGAAGTTAACAAACAAAGAATGTCGTCATGTACGCAAGAGAATGAACTCGGAATGGGATGGAGAGCGGTATGACGAAAAGAGCTTGGTTTGTGTGTGGATCAAGCATGGTATACATGACTTTTGGTCCATAGTTTGTAATGGTGGCACTATGGTGCCTTTGCGCTTTATTTTCGCTGCTGGTCATCTTGAAACTGAAGTAGACTGAGCAATTTACGAATCAGTTTGGTTACTGGTTTTCCACTTCGTTGGACTTCAAGAAGTTGGTTGCGATTCTTGATCTTTCCCGGTTACAATACAGCCTATCTCGTTGAACTAGTGTTGTTGCTTTATAAAATCAGAACCATGGATTAACCCGGTCACAGTCGCGATGTAAATCCGACCGAAAGCAGGTGGTGTATACTAGCCAGGTTGGTTTATGTGGAAGGTTGCTTTTCCCGGCACTGTATGAATGGAGTTGTATTGTCATAAAGGAAACTACTCACAAGGTTGCTGAGGGGCGAAACCGGTCGTAGGCTGTCGAAGAGTTTTCAGCAACCTTGTGAGTAGTTTCTTTCATGAAAATATACTGCGATATCTCGAATATCGTGCCAACTGAAGCATGAGGCAGTGGTCTGTGTGCAGCACATTCCGTTGTGGAATATCATAAACGAGAGATTCAGTTGAGTCTCTGGTGAAAACCAAATTGATTTGCAAATGACTGTATTTTTCGGAGTTGTATTATCTTTCAGGACTTTGAAAATATGCAAAACTCGATCGAAATTTTTCTTAAAAACGTGATTGAAGCATCACTTATAAGATCCGGTGCATTTTTTTAATGACTCAGTTACCCTGACTGTCTTTTCAAGGTTTCTCTCGGTCGTTGATATCCAAATTCGCGATAAATAGATTCAAATAACTCCAAGGTGAACCCGAACGCGTGTTCCCGACTTTGCTGGGCATTCATCGAAAGCGTGCCATGACTGATCTGTTGGGTTTTTTCTGCGTTATGGCGTCTTAAAAACGGTCGCCTTTCGTTCTGTTATTGTTTGTCCGTCGCATCTGAGTGATTTTATCCGACACGGAATCGCCCCGCACTTAGGATGCTGAATTGAAATATCCGCAAAAAAAATCGCTGTCTAACTTGGCCCAGATTTGACTAAATATCTTACTTCCGTCTCTCCCTCCATGTCTGGACAGCCTGAGACCTATCGGTATGGATGACTATCCCGGTGGCGTGAATTCCATCAAACAAGACGATGGCATGAACGATTCCCATTATGGTAGCGGCGGGGGTGGACATGCTCTGGGCGACTTGAGCACTTCTGCCTACATGCAACAACCATCGTCTGTTTCCTCCTCCACCACTCAGAAAGCCTCCAGCAATTGTGGTCTTGGTCTGTCCGGTAGTCCACAAGATACATCTTCCCCTGAGGAGAACTGCATCAGTGAAGATGACAATATGGATTTGGGACTGGGTACGTCTTTCGAACTTCCTCCTCCAACTGAGTCATTTTCTCGTACATGTCCTCCTTCCCTACTAGACAAGCTTGGGAGGTCCCTAAAATTCAACCACTAACTGAGCTTGAGTCAACTCGATGTGGTATGAATTACTTAGACTATGTTTAGTCTTGTATTTGGTCATTCCGCTGAGTGCCTTGGATAGGTTTTCAAGCTTCGTTACGACAAATGAGTGGCAAGTCTTTGGAAATGTGATATTGGAGAAGAAAACGTAGATTCTTTCCCCAAAATACCGCTCTAATGTTCGGGAATGTGGCTTTCTCTTCTCAGTTTACTCCTCTTGACGAAGTTCATTGTCTCTCGTACGTTCCACGCAGCGTCCAACCTTTACCACTTCGTCTAGATGTAACATCTTTATCTGTCTTCCGTCACTATTACGACATAAGGTTTCCTTATTGTTGTATCTTGCGCGGTGGCCGAGCTACGTGGGTTACGCCTGCACTGAGCCTGCCAGACTACGCGATAGGGAGAAGACAGAGAACTGGGGACACGGCTGTATTGCCAGGACAAAACGTACAGGACGTCTGCGTAAATATATAGGATGACTAACTGGCCAAATATGGTCGTTCACTTGTTCGCTCCGTACAGCCAATGGTGGTGTTCCGGTCGTGAACATTCTCAGGCCCACTACGCTGGTCGTGTGTTGCTAAGTCGTGTTCGGTGTGAGCCACCAACTCACCTACTTTCCGGACGTGTCGAACCGATGGTGACCTTGGGGATGCGTCACTCTCTGCACATGTACTTTTTCTTCTGTCTGGGCGCTCCCTGACACTTATGCCCTAGCCTTTGGTCTCATTGTCCCGCAAACGTGTGACTCGTTTTGTCCTTCAACGCAGCCCCATCAAATCACTCCTCTCCATTGTCGAACTGGCATTCTTACTTCGCCTCTTCTTAGAACCCCGAGAATTTGAAATTCCCAGCCTTTCTCCGTATTTCCCACTTTCGTAACCCCCCCCCCCATTTTCTTGGTGCTCAACATTGCTTGGTTTTCGGTTACTGGCACTCTGCTGGTGAGTATATAGTCCACGTTTGTGCGTCACCAAAAAATTGAATGCCGGGTAATGTAAGACGTTCTTGATGTTTGCACAATGGCAGTCAAAACATTTGTTGTTTTTCTTTGTTGTGCAATGATCTGCAGATGGCTTGAACTGTGATTGCTGCTGGCTCACCGACTTGTCATCATCTGAAGGCATATCAGCTGCTGTGAAAAGGCGTTTCTGTTCAACATGTCAGAATTCGCACACAAAGGAGGTAGACCGTGTTTCTAAAACAACCGTTGCACTATTTTGTCTTGATGTGCTTGGGTTGAGATAGCTGAGTGGTTAGAGTGCGAATTTACTGACCGGAAGGTCCGGGATTCGAACCCGACATCTGCATCTTGACTTCTGTCTAGGCTTGGGAACTTGGCAGTATCCCAGCCGCCGTGCCTCCTTCGGATGAAATGGCAGCTAGCCACCAACAGGGTTCCACAGCTGAGCAATATTCTTGTCAATACAGTAGAGTGCGGACTGTTCGTTACAGTCACCCTCTCCCAAACGTGATACGTCCCGTTTCTTCCGTAGCTGACGGGAGCTCAGTGCTTCAAATCTACTCCCGTCCAGGTGTGTCACTAGTCGACACAGTCGTGATTTCACCTCGGTTGATGATCAAACTCTTGCCACCACAATGAACATTCGAATGGACAAACCAACAACAGCTTTTGATTTATTTACTGGTGGTCATTTTTCCTCTAGACTATCACGAATCCGTTCGTCTATCCATTCACTTACTTTCACTACGCGGTTCTCTCCGTCCGCTGTCCCTTGTGCAGCCGGAAGTCGTAGCGCTCCTGCTATAGTGTATTGTAGGCTGACCTTCGATGCTCTCCTTGCTAGGTTAGTGCCAACCCGTCTGTGACCGTGTTCGTATCATGGTAAGCCAAGCGTAAAAACTCTTTGTCCTACCATTCCGACTCTAAGACGTCCAGCACAGTAAGTACCTTTGGCGGCATCAAACAATGACTGTGAAGAGTACGGTTCGGAAGCTTCGACACGTACACGTGTTTTAGTCAGCATACGCGCGCAGTCTAACAGCTAGGTCGTACACCCGCTCCATTCAGCTTTTCGTACCCTGTTCTGGACGCTATCTCTCTCATTCCTCTCACACGCCACGCCTGCCGCCGTCTTGCCCTACGGAGGTAAACCAGTCCATCCTCGTTCGCTCTCCGCGTCGTTTGTCCGTTAGTCTGTTCGTCGGTCCGCCAATCGATCCACCGGGTATGGGCAAGTAGTCAGCACCGGTGATCACGTGATGGGTCTAACTCTTGTCGTGTGTACCCATGAGTGTGTTTGTTCACAACCCTCTGTCCACCTCTTGTACAAATGCCGGTAATCAGGCCTAATTTTGTATGCATGTGTACGGACCTACGAGCGCTGTCTTCACGATTTCATGTCCATTTTTCGGGGCAGCTCTACGTACCCCTGCAGTCATCCAAATTCTGGGTCACGTGGTTCCACGCTCTCGCACGGTTTGGCACACGATTTGTTTTGACAGCAGTGCTCCAGCCAACGGGAGGGGGTGTTGTTTTTCCCTCCTACCCCTAAACCCAGCAAACCTCACGACCGACGGCTTTTTCGATTTGGGGATTTATGAGCGTTTAAAGACAAACCACGCCATGTGACAACAAAACGTAAGGCTGGAGAACGGTTAAATCAGGTGGCCTTTAGATAGGGGCAGTTACGCTGCCAGGCTTGGTAGAATAATCGGCCTTCTGATTCCAGCTGACTCCTCAGGTAGCCAAATTGTCCCCTTGTGGATGGAGATTAGAAAATCGACACTTTTGGCAAACTTACAACCTTTTGGAATTCTTAGTGAAAAGAACGACGGGAGACTTAATCTTATCCTATCACAAACATTCACTTCTTCATTACTTTGTCAGACAACGTGGACAGAAGCTATCAGAAGGATTCTACAAGGGTGACATCGGTTTGTATTGTATTTTCAACCGAACACAGCGATGGGTACACACAACATGCTCCATAAGATGGCCAATTCCTCGGCCCTGGATACAAACCCTGGGGTTTCTATAGCCGTTTGTAGTGCATATATCCGATGTGGAGAAGTCAGACCTCGCCATTAGTGGACTGTGTAAAGTATCAAAAAAAAAATCGTTCAGCTGTACCACCCTTTCGTACCGTGCCAATCCGAAGGAAGGAGATACTGCCAGGCTACCCAAGCATAGACAGGGGAAGTCAAGATGCAGAGGTTGGATTCGAATTGTCGCGTGTACGTGGCGCCCGCGTACCACCCCCCACTCGTTTTAGTTTGATCAACGCAACTGTTTGTTTGACTATCAGCTATGCTTGAATAGGGGGGGGTCATAACCCATTTAGGGCTGGTCTAGGCAAGTAGTCGATGGCCTTTGTTTCACCGAATGCCATAAAACACGTTGACGGTATGCTACTCTGCCGTAGTTTGAATAAATTGTCTTCATAACTGCCTCATTCAGACTGGGGCTCGTGACCTGAGTCTGTAGCGTTTAAATGAGCTCAAGTGGTTAGAGCACGAATTTACTGACCGGGAGATCCGTGGTTCGAACCCGACATCTGCCTCTCGACTTCTCCTGTCTAGGCTTGGGCAACCTGGCAATATCCCAGCGCTCGTGCTTCCTTTGGGTGGCATGGCAGCTAAATGGACATACACAGGCCGGGTGGGTTAATCGGGTTGTCTTGTGCGTACACAAATTAACTGTATTTTTATTTCATCAATTTTTGTGAAAGCTAAGGGAGCTTCTCCACCTGGTGCTTACCGAATGGTGATTGGGACCCCACATGCCTACCCGTCAGCTTCACTGGCTCTGGTGATTCTGCTATCAAGTCAAGCAGCTCCGATTTCTGGTGTATGACAGTGTCCTAATCGTAATCATCTACAACTACTGTAAATTTTCGATTGCCGCCAGCTAACTACTTATATTTCGGTTCCCGCACGCGGTTACAACACGTCAGCTAAATGCATTATGTATGTGACCTGTCTTGATTTGGAGCGAGTTTGTATGTCCAACCTAAAAAAGGCACCCTTTCGGTGCCTAACTGCCATGCCACCAGAAGGAAGCATGAGGGCTGGGATATTGCCAGGTCGCCCAAGCCTAGACAGGGGAAGTCGAGAGACACACGTCGGGTTTGAACCACGAATCTTCCGGTCAGTAAATTCGCGCTCTAACCACTTGGGCCATCCCGCTCCGCTCTAATCCCTAGTCCCCACAGATATCGGCAACTACATGACAGTTTTATACTAATGCAACCTATTTAGTCTGACTAGACTCCACTGTATTTCAACCGCCGTAACTCAACAACGATGCTCTGAGCTTCACATCCGTTTACTGTGTGTACAGTGCCTCGTGACGGACGTGTACGTGGTGAATAATAGTATTTTTCTAATCCTTTTCAATCAAGCCGTTCTTGAATAGCTTCTTGATGTGACTGCCTTATTTCAGGCCAAACCCGGAGCAATCACAAAGCGCGAGTGTACAAATCAGTTTCAGTGGTCTCGTGCAGTCAATAGATATTCTGTAGATGTTGTCGATGGAACTCTTGTTAGGCTTCACTATTGACAGTGCTCTGGTTTTCGGAAACAAGTTGAAAACGCGCGGCTTTTTTTTCAATGATGAGTTGGCTAAAGTCCGGTGACGTGCTGCAAAACCACGCCTAATGTTGTCGTTCCGTCACACACACACACACACACACACACACACACACTAAAATAGTTCATTTGTGATATTGCTGTGTAGAGTGCACAATACGAGAGTACCAACGTAACACTAGGACTTAGCCCTGCCTATCGTGTTTCACGTTGACAGCTGATTTGTCTCTGATCCCCAGCTGTGGTTTGATGCAGTTGGTTGCTTGCAATAGCAACTACACTCCGGTAGTCTCAACTAGCGAATACATCAAATGAGGTAAAGGGAGGAATTCATCGACCCGTATTTTGTTATATTTGATTGCTGTTCCCTCTCCAGTGCCTGGTGCCGGGAAATGACTCACCGGATAAGGAACACAACAGCTTTATTGCGAACAAGCGAGGGACCTCATGTTATTTGGAATTTTACTTTCATTGATCCAGGCTGTTGCTGAATTGATTGAATGCTTGATTGGCCGGGATGCTTGCCGTCTTTCTTATTGAGATTTCGGTGGAGTTTTAGGGTCTCAGTAGGTTCCGGGTGTTCTGGGAATCTGATCTTCCTGAAGGCGGTTATGACGTACTAGGTCGTCTGGGTCCAGCAGGCACGGTAGTGGGAATTGGCCGTTCACATACTTCAATTTTCCATTCCCCTTTTTTCCCTCAAACTTGCCGTTGTCTTCATGGACGAACTAAACCGTATTAGCCAAAGTCACTGCGTTAGTTGAAATAACCAATTTCTGTCCTATCAGGCTCCCCTTTCTTAAGCATTTTTATTGAATCCACCTCTGATCTGAGCAGGTTTCTTTTAACCGCTGAATAGTTTGTCGACACCGATTGGCCATCCAAGTTACAGTAAAGACATCCAACCTCTAATCTTTCAGCTGTAACAAACACCCTTTCGGTGCTCAGCTGCCATGCCACCCGGAGGAAGTCTAGTGGAATAAGGATACTCTTAATATACCGAGTGACTTCCGCTATTGCTCCCGAAAACTTCTCAGTTATGTTGCTATTGGGGGTTACTTCAGCTCGTTTTTCGTTGTATGTATTTTATTATCGAAGTTCCACAGTGGAACGAAAGCGGTTGAGCCCTATGGGATCTTCGTGCTTTCCTGCTTGCGGCTTTCCGTGACTAGAAATCCATTTGAACGTCGCACATGATCTATCTCGATGGCGAACCGCATTGTGTGGACAAAACTTGTCTGTGGCTGTTCACCAGGCTTTTGTTGGTTTCGATTAACGGATTTCGGCCCAATCCCACCGTTGGCCTCTCACTCCGAAATGCTGTCCAGCTAAGCCTATTTCAGTGCTTTTCAGAAGTGTGTACCTAATGTCCTTGATCGTTTCTCCTAAGAACATAAACGTTTTTAACTAGGTTCTTTCCACTCTGTTGCAGCATGAGTGCTTGTATTCACACACACACACTGGGGTACAGCTCTCTCATTGCGGACGAAGAATTTTTATCGTTCCTCTTCTTCGTAGATGCCTATTTTCAATTCGTACTATTCACCTCACACACACACACACACTGGAGTACAGCTCTCTCATTGCGGACGAAGAATTTTTATCGTTCCTCTTCTTCGTAGATGCCTATTTTCAATTCGTACTATTCACCTTCCGCCCATAACACATCCAGACATGTTCAACGACGTGCTCATCGATGGCACGGAGATGACCTCAGTCGCCTACAAGGAACCCGAGTACTGGTGTTCCATCTACTATTATGAAATGAACACTCGAGTCGGTGACACTTTCCACTGTTCCAGTCCTTGTCTCACCGTGGACGGATTCACCGACCCCAACCGTCATAATCGGTTCTGTTTGGGACTTTTGTCAAACGTCAACCGGGGACGTCAGATCGAACTGACGCGTCGGCATATTGGTGAGTCCTGTTTGACCATGTTCCCACCTGTTGGTAGGGGGGTTGGTCTGTTTGTCCTAACACTTTCCGGCCATCCCTATCGGAAATCCAAATTAGCATCTAAGTACTCACAGCCGTGTGGTCGAGAATTGCTACTCTCACTGAATCTCCACAGTTGTCATTCGGCTCAGTATTGTTGGGCAATTTTTCTTTTCAAACCTTTGGTTTTTAGCTTTGAGCAAACTGACCACCTACGTGTATCTCAAATTCTCTGGTGGAGCTTGAGCTCCTTGTACGAGCGCCACCTCTTCCAAAAAGAAGCGAATGCTTGACTAGCATCCAGTGCGGAGTTGCCTTTCTACATTCGTGGAACCACTGGACGCCTGCACAAATGGTTTGTCTGGGGCTGGATTTGTCGCGGACTTTTGAACGTATGATGCTGATGTAAGACCGAAATAATTAATCGGTTGGCAGACTCAGAGGCTTGTTGAAAACTTCGGCATGTTTCTAGATCAATATACTTTTGATTCCGTATAGTTGCGCCTCCCGAAGAACCTGTGTTCCAGATGGTTTTGGTCCTGTAAACGCGCATCGTGTTTCTTGGAGGTTATCTGCAAAATCGATCGAACCGGGAGTGTGATGGCACAATACGCAGGTGTCATCAAATTCGCACAGCAAAGGCACCTAATTTTTTCCGGTACATTTTTTACGCAGTGACAGTACCCAGTTTGGTTTTCGGCTTTTCATCCTGCCAGCTGGCGGTCCCCTCAGCTTCATGTAGAGGTCACAACCCACAGAATGTCTTTTCCAGGAGCGATTCTCGCCTCTAACGCGATCCACGTACCACTGATATTTCTTTAGTTAGGTGCACGAGGCTTTGGAGATGGTTATTGTTGGTCATCCCTTCCAAGAAGAAGCATCCTTCTTGATGAGGCATTGCGGTATCTCTCGAAGGTGTATCTTCGGTTATTCTACTGGACCATGCTCCGCCACTGTCCGTTAGCCAAGACCTCCACGACCACTCTATTGAAATCTATAGTCAGTGAAGGACGACAGATGGTTACGCGTGTGGAACCCGGAAGCCCAAACAAACATTTTGAGTGCAGCCATGTCGACTAATTCCTCGAGTCCTTCAGACACGCCAAGCACATGCGTTGGTGCATAAACTATTACCTTTTTGGTAACTGCTTCGGATCTCTTCCTGTTTCCGGTGTTGTTTTTGGGTAAACCATGCCCGAATGACAAAATATCTCTTCGGCTAAACCAGCGTGACCGAATCACCCACGCTTACATTAAATGTTTTATGCATGGGCAGGCGAATACTACCTATCAACCCATTTGACAACTGTGTTCTGGCATCTGCTGTTGCTCCGTTTTTGGTGACTATACTGTTATCCTTCCCATTGGCCTAATCCTAACCTCGCTCTAGTAGAAAGGCCCACTATGTTTTAGGTCGCGATCCCCTCTGGATGTGGACTGTGGTCCATTCAGAGATGCCCAACCTCTACATATGACCAAGTCAGGTTTTGCACAGAGCAGCACACAATGTCCTCGACCACAGTGCGTTGTGTTCTGTTTGCATTGTGTGTTCTCTCGGTCGACCTCCCCTCCCTCACTGGCCAAACACAACTTTACACCAGGTCGGCGACGTCTGGCTGTTGAAAGTACACAAGCAAACCCTCAGCCACTTCGTCAAGGCGTCCTCCCCACACAGCTGACTGGTGATGCATGCGCGCTGTCTGACCTAGTTTTGGAATGAATAGACGAGCGCGGCGGTCATGTTTAAGGTCATCCTTTTTGTAGGAAGGTCATGTGGATGGATGGATGGAGGACTGGGTTTCTGACCTAGTTTTGGAATGAATAGACGAGCGCGGCGGTCATGTTTTTAAGGTCATTCTTTTTGTAGGAAGGTCATGTGGATGGATGGATGGACTGGGTTGATGTGACTGGCCTGGGTTCCTTGTGCACTTGCGGCATCTCCACAGAGTTGGTGTTCGCTTGATGTTTTTTTTTGCTGCGCACGGTGCTGATCACTGTGCCGATTAGTAGTTATGTGGCCAACTGTTCAGTCGTGCGTGGCTTTGTTTTACCTTTGTACCTACAGTTTTCAATTCTCGTCTGGTCGTTTCGCAATCGAACGTTTGGGAACTGGTGATTAAAAAAACGCAGTAGAGAGTCAATTTGCGACCACACACAGTGAGAATCGGTAACGTTTACAAGACCAGGCTGCGCGACCTTCATCCGGCAGCCGAATATTGCTGCTCTGTACAGGCTAACGCTCAGTAGAATGTGTGAAATACTCGGTCAAGAGATGGATTTCCGCCTGAGGCGATACAAAAAGTCATCCGGAGTGGAGGGTCGGAGTTGGGAGAGATAAATTTCGGGCCCGCGAGCATAAATCAACCTTTGAATGCGGATTACACAGTTGATGAGTTGAGTCAGAAGGCGTTTTCACTCCCTGCGGTCAGAGGAGCTCGCCGAACAACATTCAAAAAGGACTCGCTGCCATGCCACCCGAAGGAAGCATGAGGGCTGTGATACTGCCAAATTGCCCAAGCCTAGACAGGAGAAGTCGAGATGCAGAGATCGGGTTCGAACGACATAGTGCTAACGGTTCGGATCACCACCAAGTCTGAGAATTTCGTTGAGAATAAGGGATCATCGGAACACCTCACCGCTACGGCATGGGAAGTTGATAGAGAGTGACCACCTTGTCGTTACCAAAAGATGTCAGGTAGTTTTGCACTGTCTGTTCACACAAACCCGGGGTTAACCAGCACGCAGATTGAACGCGCCGCCAGTGGAGAAAATAATTTCGGAAGTCGCGGATGGTCTGCTTTATCCTTTGCATGAAATTTGACAACAACCTCACTACAGGATCACTTGAGTCATCTCTGGTACGAACGGGCCTCATTTAAATGGTGATAGCGCAAGCCTCTCAGTAGAAACAGTTCTATCATACTAAAAATGCCTTTCGGTAACGACGTTGATGGTGCACAGGCAAACCTCTGCCACAGAGATATACATCTGCACGGCAAAAACCCGGGTTTTTTTTTCAGCCTGGCCAGTACGAACCGGCGCTCAGCATTCGCACAATGGAATTCCATTTTCGAAGGCTAGGACGTGTCCCTGTCGAACTAAAAGAGACAGACAATTGAGTTAAGAGCTTTTGAGCTTTATCTAGGCATCCCGGGGTCTCGTCAATGCTAGGAAAGTATTCCACCAGACTTTCCGCCAGGGGTGTGATTGCTTCAACGGAAAGTAAAATTTCGTGAGCTGCAAAAATATGACGTTAGATTAGGATAATTTTTGATGTGAACACAAAACGCAACAGTTTGCCCCAAAAAGTTAACATCCACACACAAAGGTTTTGCAATTAGGAGCAGTGTGCGGCCAATGGGCACCTAGGGAACCGTTCCAATGTAATTTAAACAGGTGATGATGCGTTAATGGGGGCGAGATGGCTCAAGTGGTTAGAGCGCGAATTTACTGACCGGAAGGTCCGTGGTTCGAACCCGACCTTCGCCACTCGACTTCCCCTGTTTAGGCTTGGGCAACCTGACAGTATCCCAGCCCTCGTGCTTCCTTCGGGTGGCATGGCAGCTAGGCACCGAAAGGGCGCTACAGCTGAACGATTATTATTTTTTATTTTTTATTAATGAGGTTCAGTAGCTTCGAGCCAATCGATGACCATTGTTCTGCACCTGAAGATTAATGCAACACAATATTCTCAGGACGTACTAGCGAGAACGTCTTGAAGGCTTTTTTTATGAAAGCTCAGCGCTACGTTTATGCTACAGAAACCATGTGTACTTCCCAAAACTAGTAGTGTGTGTGTGTGTGTGTGTGTGCAATAGTCACAAAACTACACGCAAGCCGATGATCGTCTTTGGCGCACCTCTTTGGATGGTGCTCCCACACATAGATCTTCGTGTCTCCTTGGTTGTGAAATTCCATGGTCGTAGCTGCACAGTGAGCCAGATTTCCCCAAGAATGAGTCTGAATGAACCCGGATCCGCGGTACAGATCAAACGCCCGTTTGTTTGCAAAGCATCAGATGTATATGTAATGCATTTCACACGAAATCATCAATACTCGAACCAGCTGCTGTCTTCCTGGCTACGGACCGTGCGGCCGATAATCTTGAATTTGCGTTATAATGCATATCTGGTGACGTCCAACTTCCAGTCTAAGAGTGGAGGAATCCCTGACGGGTGGATTTCCCGCACCGTAGGTCGTAACCTGGAGGTAGTCAACATACCTTGCGGACATATGCGTGTCCAGTTTCGCACACAGGTGCTTTACATTTAGTCAGGGCAGAATGAACCCACTTTCTGACCTGCTTTAGTCATACAAAGCTGGACGCTGATAATAATCGTTCAGCGGTAACACCCTTTCGACACCTATCTGTCATGCCACCTGAAAAAATCATTAGGGACTTCCCAAGCGTATGGAGGAGTAGTCGAGATGCGGATGCTGGGTTCGAACCACGGACCTTCCGTTCGGTAAGATGGCACCTTAACGAGTGAACACCATTTGATGACTGTCGACAACCATTGATGGAAGGAATATCGTGGCTACATTTTGGTGCTGCGAGGCGTAGAAGACTTCCCCACTTCGGGCTATTCTCCGTATGAGTCCTGTTCAGGTTCCATCCTTGTTTGAATCGCCATCACATGTTTCCTGGTGATTCAATCGGACTACTGGAAAATCGTGTGGTACGTTTAGTCTAGCATTTCTTAAACATGAAGAGTACAGTTGCATCATCATCATCATCGACAGCTTGACATCAGTGTTCACACCGATGCTTCACTGCCGTACAACCATGGTTTTTCCTTGCAAGCCTTATTGTAAAGAAAAGGATAAAGGTGGACGGAAAAGGGACTTAGTGCTAGCTTACCACAATCACTCCGAGGTGCCTATACTTCCAGATACTCACCCAGGCGATCTGGATAGAAACTGACAACAAGAACGCCACTGACACCGGTTGGCAGCCATATCTTGTAGTGTCTCCAACCAGGCACAGTGAGGATCACGCGGTCCCCATCCTGGAAGGCGAGTAGCACCGACAGCACCCAAGCATTTCGTGATCTCCTTCATATTCCTCTGCCGAGTCAAGGGTTGACCACCTCTCTGTTTACGCCACTCTGAACTGGGCACGGAAATACAGCACTCTCTTCGGCTGCACAACCGAAAGCGCACTTTCTAACTGTCTCGTTACGGTTTCGCCGACACCAACCCACACGAACCGTGATTCTGAGACAACGATTGTCAACCACCTGAAGACGTCTCAGTCCCGCTGCTCGAATAGGCCAAGTCTCACAGCCACACAACAAAACAGCCCGATCGTCATGGGTAAAAAAGACTAAGTTCTTGGGTTACCAACGGCAGCGACTTTTGATTCAACTAATTCTCAGTTCATGATCTGATGTCGTCATGTTGTATCGGAGCTAAGTGACCAAAAGCTGTCTAATAATTGAATTGAATATCGCGTCAGCTCCATGCGACTCTTACTTTGTTGCTTCCTGTTCATGTGGTCGTGTGAAATCGAACCAAAAGTTACTTTGGCATAGTCTTACTGAGCACCGAACAACTAAGCTTGACATCAAACGGTAGATCCGGAGCACTTCGTTTTTCAACGAACACGTCCTACTGATGTGCGCTTCGTTGAGCACAACAAACGAGCGCACTGCAATCAGTCGGTTGTTGTCCTCGTTTGGTCAGGCATCTAAGAATTATCCTTTGAGAAACGTAGTGTAATGAAAGGGAGGTTTTGAAAGCGAATGCCAGTGACAACCACTCCTTACCAGTACATACTACTCACAAGGTTGCTTAGATCTCCGACAGCTGTCTGCATCTTTTTGGAGGGAGGGGGCTTATCAGGTAGGTGTAATCCTCAAGTATGCATCAATCTTATGTTCTTCTTGAACAATGAATTGTAACAGGATTTAATTGAAATTGAATTTGAGAATATTCTACACGAGAACTTCATTTGAGTTTCTCGTTAACACCAGTGTGATTTGCAAATGAGTGTATTTCATTAGCCACACCCTTGTTTGAAACATCCGGTTGGATTTCAAGCTCACGCCTTGGTAGTTATCGGGTCTTTGGTGAGGATAGATGACTAATCAGACAAAAACTTTCTGAATGTTCCCCCCTCCCTAGTCAAGCTATTATATGACGTAGTCAACAGCTAGCTAGACCACAAATCACACAAACGCCTAATGGAAGAATACTTTCAAAGTCAGAATAATCCAAGGTCAGTGAAAACAGCAAGTCTCGATCACGAGTGGGAAGTGTGGTGGAAATTCTACTGCGGGACAATCAATACCATTCTGAAGGGGATGCAAAGAGAGGCATTTCTGAGATTCTCCTGTTCCTGAAGGCGGAATAAGCTTCGAAGAAATCACTGTGAGAGACAGTATGTGATTCTTGTCGATGGGGGAATCTCATAACAGGAGGTACTTTCTGCATTCCTTGTGGCGGTTTAGTAAAACTCTCACGTGGACACCCGTCTCGTCCGAACAAGTAACGCCAAAACCCGCCGACCCGGCCAGAACCGAAAAAGGGCCCATTGATTTCACTTTGCAGATGTTCGCAAAAATATGATTAATAATCATCAGTCATATTCGCTGAACGAGACGTTGACTCTGTGCGGTCAAGGATCAACCTTCTACAAACGTTTTGATGGAGAGGGGGCTAGATAGATCAAGTGGTTAGAGCGCGAATTTACTGACCGGAAGTTCCGTGGTTCGAACGCGACCTCTCGACTTCCTCTGTCTAGGCAGGACGACCTGATCCCATCTCTCGTGCCTCCTTCCTGTAGCATCGCAGCTAGGCACCGAAACGGTGCTACAGCTGAATGAAAAAAAGACGTTTTGATGATTAAAAACCTCGTCTTTCATGAGGTGAAGTGTGCCACCACTGTTTCATTCTGATGAGTACTACTTCACGTAGCAAGCAGCTACAAGCAGTTATCCCTTCGCTTGGTTTGGCTTGGACTAGTCACACCACACCTGTTTCCACCAGTCGGGTTGCTTTGGGTCCCCTGGGGGCGGGGACACGGAACTACTTCCGGCACTGTGGTAGCACGGTCAAAACACCACTGCGTTGTTAATGCCCGAATCGAGAAGCCAAACACATATCAT